TTTGTGGGCAAGGCAGGGGTAAAATTTAGAGAAGGAAGTGGTCATTCGAAGTTGACTCACCCTTTGGTGAGCCACCCGAGGGTAAAATTTAGAGGAGGAAGTGGCCACTCCATTTTGACGACCCTTTTAACTAAGCAAACATCCGGGAAAGGGCCTGTGTGCGCACTTGAGTCTCCCCCATGGACTGTGTGCGCAGATGAGTCAAATCTGTGTGCGCAGATGAGGCGCAAGCGCTAACAAAATGTGTGTGCGCAGATGAGCCAAATCTGTGTGCGCAGATGAGGCGCTGCCCAACCTACTAGCAATGGCCTCCAAGCTAGCAGAATTGGTGCGATGATTATGGATGTGTTAAAGTGTGAATTTGCTGATCCTGTCAATGGACAGGACAGCCTCACGTTTGACATATTGCGGCCAGTATTTGGTCAAAATCAGGGTTCCATGAATGGATGATTGATGGATTTGTATGGATTTTGTACTGATGTGTATGTATGACGATCTATGATGATTTATGGAGAGTTTCATTCTCATTGTGCGGGTGAGCCATGGTGGGTTGCTTGAATCAGGCCCCCAAGGGAAAGACCCTGCTGTAAAACCTCCGCGGTGTGCGAAACCTGGGGCCGGGAAGGCCGTCGAAACCGGAGGAGTTGCGTTGGTCATCCTTGGCATGCCAACGGTCAAGTGACCGTAATACCCCTCCCTGAAACAATCATGGCAAGTGACATGCTTCACTTCCATGTTTGTTGGATGGAGGGTAGTTCTTAGAGGTGGGGGTACCGAACTGGGATAGTCTATAGGGTTCTTCAACCTGCCGTCCAGGGTGGCACGGAACACGGAGTTGAAAGAAACAACTCCCATGGGCTTCAGCTTTTGTTTCTCCCTTCCATCACCCATTTTGAATGAACAAATGGTACGCGGGCAGCTTTATATCATGGTGCGTTGCCAAAAACGCACCCTCAGCCAGAGATGTGATGTGGATGGGAAGCTGACAACAGTGTTGCATGTTTGTTTGTGAACGTTCGGGTGACGCCACCCTTGTGGATTCGGGACTCATCGCCTTCTTGAGGCAATTCAACCGACAGAAACCGGAGACACACCCAACTCCCAACGCCATCAGTTTGCCGAGATAGGAAGAGCAGCCAGCCAGGGATTTGTCTCGATCGACTGGTCCGAAGAATGACCCAAAAGAAAGACGGCACGAGCCGCAGTCCTTGTTTTCACTGACATACCATCCGGACGATCTTCATTTGTCCAAGAAATTTTAGTCCATGCCAATTATACCACCCAAACGCTCCATGGGACTGCCATATATGCCTACATTGACCCCCAAACCACCCCAATGTAGGCATATATGGCAGTCCCATGGAGCGTTTGGACCATATATTATACCTACTTCTTCTAGACGGTTTTCGTGGGAAGTGTACGTTTGGTGACTCAAGGTGTAGGGTCACCGTGGGGCCCCTGGGAGACCACCGGGTGACGAAAGAAGCCTCGGTCACCGGTGGTGCCAGCTCAGTCCACGGGTCACAGGTCACGAGTAAGAAGGGAAGAGAATGTAGACTCTTGATTATACAATTACCCACCCCATTTGGATTGAAAGACCTCTTCTGCCTCTCGCGCACACGAAGGGTCAGTTGCCCTCTGCACAGGATCGCTTGCTTCCCACAAGACGATCATCGAAATCCCCAATGAAAAGAATGAGATGTGCAGACATCTCCCAACCAAAAGATGGATCCAACAGCTACTCACAAAGAAAGTCCTGGACAGCAAAGTCCCAGGCACAAAGGTTGGCTTTAGTGACACGTTCGGCCACAGAGACCAAAAAAGAAAGTTCTTTGGGACTTCGCCATGGGCGTCCGCCAAGAATGACCCCACACGGCATGGTTTTGCCCCACGCATGATGGTCATGGGCATCATGACTGCCAGGGAGCATTTGACCTCCAAGTTTCTTCTGCAAAAAACGGCACCACTTCTTGAGGGTACTGCTCAAAGTGGCAAAAGTGAAAAATTCATCATCAAAAAGATCTAACTTGTGGCGGCGTTGAACGAGCATCACAGCCAGCTCAGTATAGGACACTTTGTGTCCCGGGTCGGTTGACCATTTCAAGCTACAAAGGAAGGTGGCAAAGGCTTTCCAGTTAATGTTCGAACTGGGCCAACCTACTGGTGAGATTGTGGTGTCCAAGTCATGCGCCCGCCACATGTAGTTCTGTTGCCCTTCATGCCATGGAAGAAGAGGGAACCTCTGGACAGGGTCCTCAGCTTCAACATTTTCCTCATCGTCAGATTCAAGCTCCCTAGGTGGTGCAGTTGTCCCAATCATCTTGGACAATTGTGTAAGCCACTCTTGCCTTTCTCTGACGCATGAGCATAGTGTGTCATACATCCGCTGATGGATGGCAGCATTGCTTAAGGCGGCCTTCTTTGCAGCAGAGTCAGCGCGGCGATTGTGAACAATGTCGGTCACCGTTGTGCCATGCTGTGCCGCTGCAGCTGGTGTTAGCAAATACTCGGGTGTGCCCTCAAGAGTGTGTGCAGGTATCCAGACACATTCAAGTGGACAAGCATGCAGCTGGCGGCGTGCAGTGAAGAGGGTTAGCACATATTGCCACCAAAAAGTCAGCGGCCATTCCTCCTTGATGTCCTCCGTACCAACGAGCTCATTGAGGTGGTTGGCAAGGCTCTTGCAGTCAGTTCTGATCTGGATAGGACCTGAGGCAGTGGCAAAGGCCCAAATAGCAGCCCACAATTCCGCAGTATAGCTCGAAAGATTCCAATGCTGGACAGGGCCGGACTGAACAACAACACCATGTGAGTTCACTACGGCAAACCCTGCACAGGAAAGCATGAAATGTGTGGGCCACTGCACAGACCCGTCAGTCTACAAAGTTTGTTTGGATTGGTGTGGGTCCCATGTGCCAGGTGGGATAGCAGAGGGGTCCGACACCTGCAAACGATGCTGAAGAACTGAAACAGGATGCTCAACAATACCTAACAATTCAAAGTTAGCACCCAACTCGTGGACAGGCGGTGGAGGATTATCATGTCGAATTTGAGTGCAATCTCGGACAAGGTGAGGCAATGATTCCTTAGAACTTGAACACATACGACAGGTGGAATGTTCAACCCTCTTGGCCGCAGCAAGGCGGTCATTGGTGAGGACACACCCAACTAGCTGTGCTTCGAAGAAGGCAGAATCCGGAATCTCCCCTTCCGTCCTTGCTGTTTGATGACGCAAAAAGCTAGTCGAGAGCCAAAAGTCAAGAATGCCTGTGGGACTCCTAATATCCTTACGACTCTGTAATCCAGCTTTTTCATAACAAACGTGCTTGGCAAGTTGCTGGAGAACAGGACGCACATCGCGATGACCCAGCTGATGCAAGGCACACAGCGGCTTGCCCGCCAATGCCAACATGCCATCAGCGCGAAGATCTATGTGAAAGAAAGCAAAGGCATCCCTAACTCGTTGAACAATGGCGTGCTTATGGTGGCAAGACTTAAGAAGATCATTGAACCTCAACCTTTCACAGGGGAAAAACTGGAGGTACCTACACACATCCAGAATGGAGTTATAATGTCTGGCACACATAGGCTCAACTCTGTGCGGCTTGCAAAGAAAAGCAAAAACTAGGAATTTTGCCCTCCAGTGGGGTCTGTTCTTCCACAGTGAGGTGACAATTTCGCCTTGAATCCTGGCAAGGGCTCTTGCCGGGATCATGTTAATGGCAGCATTATACGTGCACTGAGGAATCACTTTGGCGCCTATGATTTTTGCTTTCTGAGCGCAAGAGATGGGAAGGCAGGAAATATTACGCACATCGGCAATAATCTTTGCAGTTTTATCGTCCGAGAAATGCATGGCAGTGCGATTGCTCGTTTGGATGTGCACACCGAGGATCTCGATTTCGAGCGCACATTGCATGTCAGGGAACAAACTTTTGACTTCTTTCCTGGCAGAACTGGAGGAGCCCCAAACAACACATTTGGATGCATTCATGGACTGGCCTGCTAGCTCATCCCACATCTGGGTAATGCGAATAGCCTGAGCAAGTTGATGTTTATTAATCAATTTCGTCCACAAATAAGCATCGTCTACAAAGGCTTGGGCAGTGACACTAGGCAGAACATCCAAAAGATGGATCCACACCTTCATATGGACATTAATGGCAATAAGTGACAGAGAACAACCCTGGGCCACACCGTTTGGGCCATGAGTGCTTTGGGGTTGAACCCAGGCTTTGTAGGAAAGGTGCTTGGACATGTCCTGGTATATTTTCACGAACATGACGACAATCCGCTTGGGGACACCAAAGGCAAGCATAAGTGCAGCAGCATACGAGGGGATAATCCTATCAAAGCATTTAGCTTTATCGATTTTGACCCCAATCAGGTCACACTTTTCATTGCGGTTGTGGTC